CTGTTCGACTCTTTGCAACCCCATGGACTGTAGCCTGCCAGGCTCCTCTGTCCAAGGGAAGGTGCCTTTCCCTTCTCCAGGGGATCAAACTCAGGTCTCCTGCACTGCAGGCAGATTCTTCATCATCTGAGCTACCAGGGAAGCCCTTTTTTTATTTAAAGCGTACAACTAAAAATTAAAAAACAGTCTAGATGCCTGCCATCAGCACAGTCAAGTGCATTCAGAGGCATGTCCTTAGTGAAACACATGGGCCAGCATCTTCCTCAAAGTCAGAAGATGCCCGAGGCAGACCTACAGACCATGATCTCTCTTGACCCTGAAGAGTAGCTGACACAGCACATCATGTCTGAGATGGCAGGACCGCATCCCACGGTGCAGGAGACCCACGTGAAAGCACAGTGCTGGGTACCACGGGGCCGGGCGGGGTGCGGAGCATCGAGATGTTTGTATCCTTGCTAACGGTGCCCAGGACGAGGCGCCAACGAAGTCTGGTCTTCATGCCCTCAATCTCGGGGTCACCATTCTTCTCAAAACAAATGTAAATGAGACAAAAACTGGTGTAATTCAGAGCAGCTGCACCTGGGGCAGAGTAAGGTCTCAGCCTTCCATGTCACGGTGTGACCCACAGCAGCACTGCAGGTGTTAAGAAGACGAAGCTTCAAACAGGCAAATTCCTCTGCCCTCTTCCACTCATCCTGGTGACTTCTGGAAACACGTTAATACCTGCCTTTAGCTCTGAGATAGTGTTGGCACCGTTCTCAAGCTTAGACAGGCAATCACGTCCAGGCGGACTCACTAGCGCTGGCTCCATTCCACTGTGTTTATTTTCAGAGTTACCTGCTATTCAAGTCAACTAAGAATGGCTCTCCCCAGTACAGTAATCACATAAAACTCCATTTTTAGGACTTCCCTGGTGATTCAATGGTTAAGACTCCACACTCCTAATACAGCAGGGCCTAGGCTCAATCCCTGGTCAGGGAACTAGATCCCACATGCCGCACCTAAGACCAAGCACAGTCAAAATAAACAAATTCTTTTTTTAAAAAAAGAACATTGGATGCCCCCCAGACTCCACTCTTCCTTCCTTAGTGAAAGTGAAAGTCGTTCAGTTGTGTCTGATTCTTTGCCACCCCATGGACTATACAGTCCATTGAATTCTCCAGGCAAGAACACTGGAGTGTAGCCTTTCCCTTCTCCAGGGGATCTTCCCAACCCAGGAAATCAAACCGGCATCTCCTGCATTGCAGGCAGATTCTTTACCCACTAAGGCACCAGAGTAGAGAAGCAATCGGCAACCCACTCCGGTATTCTTGCCTAGAGAATCCTGTGGACAGAGGAGCCTGGTGGGCTGCCATCTATGGGGTCACACAGAGTCGGACACGACTGAAGCGACTCAGCATGCATGCATACGTTGGAAAAGGAAATGGCAACCCACTCCAGTACTCTTGCCTAGAGAATCCTGTGGACAGAGGAGCCTGGTGGGCTGCCATCTATGGGGTCGCACAGAGTCGGACACAACTGAAGCAACTCAGCATGCATACATACGTTGGAAGAGGAAATGGCAACCTACTCCAGTACTCTTGCCTAGAGAATCCTGTGGACAGAGGAGCCTGGTGGGCTGCCGTCTATGGGGTCGCACAGAGTCGGACACGACTGAAGCGACTCGGCATGCATGCATACGTTGGAAAAGGAAATGGCAACCCACTCCAGTACTCTTGCCTAGAGAATCCTGTGGACAGAGGAGCCTGGTGGGCTGCCGTCTATGGGGTCGCACAGAGTCGGACACAACTGAAGCGACTTAGCAGCCGCAAAGCTACCAGGGAAGCCCTCTTCATTCCTTGGCCATGGGGTTATTCTGGGGGGTGCGGGGATGGACACATTGCCTCCTGAGCAGCCAGGGGAGGCCTTGGGACAAATGTCAGCCATACAAGTAGGAACCTGTGTGCACCTTCCAGGAAGGGTCCTTACAGCTTGGGGGAGGGGAAAGGTGCATCTTTGGGCCAGAGACCCATCGCACAGTGATGAAGCCCATGGGTCTCCTCTCAGAAAAATGCTTTAAAATACATAACCTAAAAAATAAAATAAAATACATAACCTAAAACACTCAAGATTACAAAGGAAACTGATTATACTGAAATAGAATTACCAAAACGTAAACAAAGACAAGTGACAGAATAGTACACAGGATTTTACATTTTCTCATTAAAAAAACTCTTATTTTCATGCAGAAATGACACTGTGAGATCTTTTTCATATCACTGTTACAGGAGCCAGCGACTTCTATCACTGACAGTCACTCGCGTGGCTGAGACTACTAAGGTTTCTATGATTCGCTGCTACTTTCATCATTAAAGAAAACACAACCTAAGCGTCCATTGACAGATGAGTGGACAAAGACAACACACACACACACACACACACACACACACACACACACACACACACAGAGGAATATTATTTAGCCATGAAAAAGAATGAAATTTTGCCATTTGCAGCAACACAGATGGACCTGGAAGGTACCACACTCAGTACAGAGAAGGACAAATACTGTATGATATCACTTATATGTGGAATCTTAAAAATAAAACAAACAAATGAACATAACAAATGAAAAACAGACTCACGGATACCAAGGACAAACTAGTGGTTACCAGTAGGGAGAGAAAAAGGGAAGGGACAATATGGAGGAAAGGGTAAGAGGTACAAATGACGATGGATGAAATAAACTACAAGGGCATACCATACAGCACAGAGACTATAGCCAACATGTCATAATAACTTTATATGCAACATGTCCCATAAAAACTTTGAATCACTGTGTTGTACACCTGGAACTGATAATAGTGTAAACAATACTTCAATTAAAACAAATTAATTAACAATCTCCCCAAGGGTCCAGTGGTTAAGAACCCTCCTGCCAATGCAGGGTGCATGGGTTCGCTCCCTGGTCCAGGAAGATTCCGCCTGCCACAGGGCAACCGAGCCCATGTACCACAACTCCTAAGCCCACGCTCTCGGGCCTGTGCTCCACAGCAAGAGAAGCCACTGCAACGAGAAGCCTGAGCATAACAATGACAGAAAGCCCCCATGCAGCAAGAAGACCCCACACAGCCAAAAGCAAAGTTAATTAATTTTTTAAATAAAATGATAACAAAATGAAGGCAATACTGAATACTAAATTTCAGTCAGATGATAGAGGAAAAAGTTGTAATTTCTTTTGCAAGTTCAGATCCCTGAATCCTACCTAAAGAAATGGAGGAAGTTTCTCCTTTGCCCCCTCCTTTGCCTCCTCCAGATGGCTGGACCTAAAACAGCCATTTTGGACAATGAGGCAAGACAGAAGGAGCCCCACTCACTGGTGACCATAGCGCCAAACACTGGCCCAGCCTGCCTACCTCTGGACAGAACGATGATTTATATATTAAGCCACAGATGGTTGGTTTATTCTTTATCATATAAAGCCACTCAAACCTAACCTTTCATCAAGAGCCTCTTGATGAAAGTGAAAGAGGAGGGTGAAAATCCTGGCTTGAAACTCAACATTCAAAAACAAAGATCTTGGCATCCAGTCCCATCATTTCATGGCAAATAGATGGGGAAACGATGGAAACGGCGACAGACTTTATTGTCTTGGGCTCCAAAATCACCGGAGATGGTGACTGCAGCCATGAAATTAAGATACTTGCTCCCTAGAAGAAAAGCTATGACCAACCTAGACAGCATATTAAAAGGCAGAGACGTTACTTTTCCAACAAAGGTCCGGCTAGTCAAAGCGATGGTTTATCCCAGTAGTCATGTATGGATATGAGAGTTGGACCGTAAAGAAGGCTGAGTGCCGAAGAATTGATGCTTTTGAACTGTGGTGTTGGAGAAGACTCTTGACAGTCCCTTGGACTGTAAGGAGATCAAACCAGTCAATCCTAAAGGAAATCACTCCTGAACATTCATTGGAAGGACTGATGCTGAAGCTCCAATACTCTGGCCACCTGATGCAAAGAATTGACTCACTGGAAAAGACCCTGATGCTGGGAAAGATTGAAGGCAGGCAGAGAAGGGGATGACAGAGGATGAGATGGTTGGATGGTGTCACTGACTCAATGGACATGAGTTTGAGCAAGCTCTGGGAGTTGCTGATGGACGAGGAAGCCTGGTGTGCTGCAGTCCATGGGGTCGTAAAGAGTCGGACACGACTGAATGACTGAACGGAACTGAAAAATAACCATAATTGCTATACCTCTTCTGAGTGGTGAGGGTGCCAACAGGTTGCACCTGATCATTAACAACCTTCACTCATCTTTGAGAGATGCACCCTACCTTATGTACAAAAGTGATTCCTCCAGGGATAGAAAGGAAACCCAACTAGAAACCTCCTCTGTAGCTGACAGCCTTGCAGGAGGCAAACCCCAAGATCCTTGCATGACAGAAGTCTCCCTCGGCCTCCCTGCTGCTCCACCTCTTGAGGCATGTCCTTTAGAACAGAAGTCCTCATCCCCCGAGCGGGTACCAGTTCAAGACCTGCTAGGAACCGGCCACACAGCAAGAAGAGAGCAGCAGTGAGCGATGGAACCTGTATTTATATTCACAGCCACTCTCCATCGCGCGCATTACTGCCTGAGCTCCACCTCTCATCACATCATCACATCGTCACATCGTGGTGGCATGATAAAGGTAAAGCACTTGAATCATCCAGAAACCATCCCTGCCCCCTGGGTAAATGGAAAAATTGTCTTCCACAAAACTGGTCCCTAGGGGCATAAAGGTTTGGGGGCTCCTACTTTAGCAAAACGATGCATGAACCCAGGTATCAGGTTTCACAGCTCAGGGAGCTTACGACCACACACGACACTTCAAGGCCACAACCAGGCACCCACAAACCTGACTTCATCCCAGACTCCGTAAAGTCCGCAGCTACCCAGGAGCTAGCACAAAGGCACTGCCTCCAGGATGTGCAGGCCCCAGGGTCACCCAGAGATGGCAGACGCTGCCCAGAAAGTACTTACTGACTGTCATGGACTCTGGCACCGAGGCAGAAGGTAACAGGCTGCTCAGAGGACTTTCCTGGCCTGGAGGACTGGCTTCCACACTGGAAAGGCAAGCAGAAGGAAGTGAAGAGTCAGCCACTTAAAACACAGCACCTCGACATTCAAAACAAATGCAGCAGGCACTGAGATCGTCCAGGTTTCCCGACTCCAAGGAAGGGAAGGCGGCCCTTTGAGATCACAGTCCATCCTCTGTGTGTGTAGATTCCCTATCTGCAAATTCGCCTACTCCCTGAAGTTTACCTGTAACCCCCAAACTCCGCCCTCTCGGGGCTGACGTGGTCATCCGTGAACGCGTACATGCGTGCGTGTGTGCACAGTCCCTTCGGTCGTGTCCGACTCTTTGCGACCCCGTGGACTGTAGCCAGGCAGGCCCCTCTGTCCATGGGATTCTCCAGGCAAGAATACTGGAGTGGGCTGCCACCTCCTCCTCCAGGGGATCTCCCCCACCCAGGGATCGATCCAAAAAGCCTCTCACATCCACTGCACTGCAGGCGGGCTCTTAACGCTGGCGCCTCCCAGGAAGCCGGAAGCGCTGTCTGTCATTCCTAAACACAGGACTGCGCGGTGCCTCGTGGGGGAAACCTGTGTGAGACGGCCTCTATTCAGCCTGATGGTGCGGTGGCAAAGAACCCGCCTGCCAATGCGGGAGATGCAAGAGATGCGGGTTGGATCCCTGGTGTGGGAAGATCCCCTGGAAGAGGGCACGGCAACCCACTCCAGTATTCTTGCCCAGAGAATCCCACGGACAGAGGGGCCTGGTGGGCTACAGTCCATGGGTTCACAAAGGAGTCAGACACAACTGAAGCAACTTAGCGCACACACACACGATGAAAGTGCCGCTGGTCATGAGTTCCCCGTCACTGAAGCAACAACGGCTGTTAGATGGGATGTCTTTAAACAGGAGCAGACAGAAACCAAAGGTACTTACTGATCCACTGACCAAAATGCTGTGGCCAGACACACTCCTAGGGGCCTGGGGGCAATGGCTCTGTCTTGAGAGAACACGGCCACCAGAAATAATGAGAGCTGCTTGTGTAGTTACAAAGAATTTGCAACATGGAAAAATAATACTTCACATCTTTCATGAAAACAGCCCCCAGGAGAATACCCAGTGGCCCATATAGTCAAAGCTATGGTTTTTCCAGAAGTCATGTACAGATGTAAGAACTGGACCATAAAGAAGGCTGAGCGCCAAAGAACTGATGCTTTTGAACTGTGGTGTTGGAGGAGACTCTTGAGAGACCCTTGGACTACAAGGGAATCAAACCAGTCAATCCTAAGGGAAAGCAACTGAAAATATTCACTGGAAGGACTGAGGCTTCCTTTGGGTGACACCAACCCTTCCTGGCACCGCACTAACGTGTACAAGCCTCCTAGAGGCAGCGCCTCTCCAAAAGCAGGGCGAGACTGGAACACGAGGCATGGGCAGAGGTAAACTACGCCCACACCCTGGAGCCAAAGTTGAAAATGCAGACATTGTATCTGAGAGACACCAAATTAAAGCCAGAGAGAGGAGGAAGGAGAGAGCTGTAAGGGCAGTTGAGGATCACAGTGCCTTCAGGGGGTCCTCACTGTCCATCTCAGCTCTGCCACCTAACGTCCAGTGACTCTGAACAGCTCAGCTTTCCTTTGAGATACTTAGATTTGAAAAACAAAAAACCGACGTGGCAAATGTGTGCTAAGTCACTTCAGTCATATCTGTGTGATTTTATGAGCCATAGCCCGCCAGGCTCCTCTGTCCAAGCGATTTTCCAGGCAAGAATACTAGAGCGGGTCGCCATTCCTTCTCCAGGGGATCTTCCTGACACAGGGATCGAACCCTCATCTCCTGCACCACAGGCAGATTCTTTATCACTGAGCCACCTGGGAAGCCCTAGGCACTTCACAAATACCTGAGACCAAAGTGGTTCCAATATTATGTGTGTGTGTGCTCAGTCGTGTCTGACTCTCTGCAATCCCGTGGACTGTAGCCCGCCAGGCTCCTCTGTCTATGGGATTTTCCAGGCAGGAATACTGGAGAAGGATGCCATTTCCTTCCCCAGATTTAAATATTACATAATACTAAAACTGTAAAGTGTAATACTAAAATTGTCCAATGGTTTATCATCAAATATTAAATCAAGCAAATTATGACAGTGAAAGTACCTAGCCATGGCCCCCAAAGAAGGAAAAGTAAAGGTGGTATGCAAATGAAATGTGACCGACACATTTCTCAGGTCTTGGGCCTGAGACCCATGGCCACTTGATGCCCTAGGATGTCAGACCAAAGTTGAACTGAATTCCTGTGAAGTGAGGCGCTGCCCTTCAAGCCCAGCAGAGGGACTTTCGAAAAGAAGGAAAGGCAGAGCTGTGAGGAGGACAGTCCAGCCCCAGAGGCAGCTGGGGGTGGGGGCTGCACGCTCACCTGTACCGGGGTCCCGGCTCTGGGAGGATGTGGTCCTCGGGTCCCGTCCCGTTCTCCAGGCTCCCGAGGGGGGCATCTGCACAGAGACAGCAGCCGCAGAGAAGGTCAGGGTTCTGCTCTCGCCCTCAGCTCTCCCATGAGACAGGGGCACGGGGCAGACACTGGCTCGCCTGCTAACTCCGCTGGTGCAAGGCCTTCCCCGTCTGCACGCTGGACTTTCGTCTGCGGCCTGTTTCATTTTTTTCAGCCGTCATCTCGGACTTGGCATCAGTCACTGGCTGGAGGCCCTGTTCTCCCACTTCAGCTTTTTTTCCCTTCACTGAAGTGTGGCTCCCACACAACACTCTTATCAGTCCCAGGAGTTCAGCACAGCGATCCAGCACTTATACCAGAAACTGATTACATTACATATTGATCACCGCAACAGATCCGGCAACTGTCTGCCACCCACGGTTATTACAATAGCGCTGACTACATCCCCCATGACTTTATTTATTAACCTCTCTGGATTGAGCCACCTGGAATTATGCATGAAGTCCACGTCCAGAGACAACCTCAGAACCAGGGAAGAATAATAAAGCAGCTGTTGGACAGAAGGGCTCCCGCCTGCAGCGTCTGGAGACGGCCACGCGGGGGCAGCAGCGTCCACCTGTCACAACCGCACGACTGCCCCTCTCTCAAGAGCCCTGCGCCACGCGGGAAAGGCATTTGGAAGAAGCGAGGCCATAAGTCATCTCTACCAACAGCAGGCAAGAGGCAGCACAGACCCTCATAGATGCACTGGCCGCTGCTCATGCCTCTTTCCAGGAAAAAGTGCAAAATCCGTGCCCCTGGGGGGACATCAAGGCCAATGCCAGGAGAACACGTGCACACTAGACAAACTCCTGGTGCCAAGGCCCCAGCCAGGCCTGGGGCGGGACAGGGGGACGGAAGGGAGCTCATCTCGCTCCCGAAGCCATCTGTCCTGTGACCTCCTCCGTTTCCACCTAGCTCTGCTCAAGATCCCCCGCCCTTAAGGGGTTGAAAAAGGGAACCCTAAGAGGAAAAGGATTCTCTCCCTCTTCCTTCCACCTGCTGTCCTCACGAAGCTACTCTGCTCACTCCCACCTCTTATTTTTCTTAATTTATATTAGAGTATGGTTGCTTTACAATGTTGTGTTAGCTTGTACTAACACAAGTGAATCTGATATATATATATATCCCCTCTTTTTTGGGTTTCTTTCCCCTTCGGGTCACCACAGAACGCTGTCTCCTGAGCTACACAGAGCCGGGATCTGATGTGAGTGGCATGCCCGCCAGGTCACGGCTCCTCCAGCTCTGACTCTAGCATCTTTAAGCAGCCTGAGAACAACATGCTTTCCGTGCAACGTCCCCACCAACAGCGGGTTTGCCCCTCAGGCTGTCACAAGCTTCCAAGACTCCTGGCAGCTTCGTTACTGTAGTAAATTAAAAAGCTGGCGGACAGGCTCACACCCAGCATCCCTGGTGAGGAGGTCGGGGTCCACTCACCAGGGACAAGATGGAGCCTCTGGGTCTGGGAGGCTGACAGCGTGAGGAGGGACCAAGAGAAACCCGCCAGGTCGGGGGACACCTGCCAGCAAGGACCCCAGAGTCTGGCCAGAACCCCAACGTGAAGAGCACACAGCCGAGGCCCGGGAGCAGCCAGACACACCAGCCCAGCGACAGTTCACGGCCCGGCCAAAAAGCCCATCGGTGGGGGTAGAATAAGGGGCGTGGGCCCCACGGATGCTGTGAACGAGCCCTGGGAACCCTCCAGGGGTCCTAGACGCACGTGAGGACCACCTACTCCCTGCCGGCCAGCCCCACTTCGCAGACACTCGGCCCGAGTCTGCACTGTCCCTGCACGTCCCCAGCCTGGGGGGGCTCGGACCCCAGCTGGTCACCCGCGCGGAAGGAGGGCAGGGGCTCCCAGACCGGCCCACCCCAGGCTTCACCCGAGGCCCAGACAGAAGCTCTGGCTGGTACAGGAGACGCGGCCGGGGCAGTGTGTCGGCACCTCAGCCAGGTACAGACCAGATGGGAGGGGGAGAGGAGGGGGGCAGACCCCCATCAGGAAGCGGGGCGCAGGGCCAGGAGGGCTGCGGGCCGGGCCGGGCCCCTCCACCCCCGGGTTTCTGCCTCTGGCGCCCGCAGGACGCCCCCGTCACCCCACTGGGACGAAGCCAGCGGGGAGCCTGCCCGGGCCTTCCTGTGCACCCGGCCTCTCCCCTCAGACCCCCTAGGGGGGTCTCCGCCCCACGTCTGAACAGTGACTCCCCTTCCTTGTGGGCTGCAATCAGGAGGGACTGAGCTAACCCAGACCGAGCACTGTGCATTCCCCGCTGCCGTGTGCGCTTCCCCAGAGAGATCAGCCTGGCGGACGGTGGCCACTCAGACCAGCAACACCGCCTGCACCTTCGAGGTGACCGCCGCACCCCCCAGCCCCGACCGCACCCGGGAACGGGCCAGCCCTGCCCGAGCTAGTCTGAGGGGCTTTCTGCTCCTCACGCGGCACCAGGACAACCGTCTGGCATCCGGCTCTGAACGTCGACAGCTTCCTGAGCAGCTGGTGGGCTCCCGTCCACAAACATCCAGGGCTTCCTAAACCTGGGCCCACGAGGTGAGAGGGGCGCCCACGCGGCGGGTGCGGGGAGGCCTCGCCGACACGGTGGTCCTGCGGGGGCACAGAGAGCGGCCCAGCGCTCCCCTCTGCCGGGAGCCACGCACAGCCGCCCCGCCGGGCTCAGCCACGACTCCCACCCTCACCCCGACACCTCCCACCACGACCTGCTCTAGCTGAAGAAAGTAGTAACAAACCACATGTGCGTTCCCGCCGCCACAAGGAACGGGCCAGGAAGGCTTGCCCACTTTTCGCCAAGCTTACTCCCTGACCTCCAAGCCCTCAGCTGTCAACGGTGGGAGGGCCTTTAGAGCTACGGGTTCTGACCTTCTCCTTCCTCCTGAGAGGCAAAAATAATGGTCACCGTTTGTAAGCCACCAAGATCAACAGATCGCTGCCAAGAAAGGAAGCGGGCCTGGGGGCTCCCAGGTGACGTGCCAACACCCGCTCAGCCAAGAGCACCGCAAAATACCCTGGTTCGTTCAGCGAGGAGTCAAGCCGAAGCCACTGGGGCTCCCCTGCTGGCGGGGCCACCTGCTCTGAGACCCCGCCTCCCGCCCCCCCCCCGCCACAGACGTGACCCCTGATCCGGCCCCTCCTGCCGCTGGTCCGGCCACGGCCCCTGCGGGCGGCAGGGAGGAACCAGGGACACCCACCTGCAGGCCCGTAGGAGCCCACGCCGCTGACCGGGAAGAGCACCTCGGCGTGGCCGTGCAGCACCTGCAGCGGGGCCCAGCCGTGCATCTGGGAGAGGCAGGCGCCCCCGTCCCGCGGCCTGGGGGAGAGAACACAGCTGCGGGTCAGGGCCCCCCCCAGCCTCCCGGGGAACCAGCCAGGCCGGGAGGGGGCTGAGAAGAGAAGGCCCGGGCAGGAGCCGGGAGCTGGCCCTCCTGCGCTCGCTCCTTTAGCCCATGTATACTGAGCCTCTCCTACCTGCCAGGAAGTGAACACACACACACACACACACACACACACACACACACACACTCTGTGCTGGCAAAGAGCCAGCCAACAAGGTCCATCCTGCCCTCATGGAGCTTACAGTCTGCTGGGGGGTGCAGACATGAAGTATGTGCATATGTGCTAAGTCACTTCAGTCATGTACAACTCTGTGATCCCATGGACTGTAGTCCACCAGGCTCCCCTGTCCATAGGATTCTCCAGGCAAGAATACTGGACTGAGTTGCCATACCATTCTCCAGGGGGATCTTCCCGAGCCAGGGATCGAACCCTCATCTCTTACATCTCCTGCATTGGCAAGCGGATTCTTTGCCACTAGCACCACCTGGGAAGCCTGACATGAAACATATGATCCCAAAAGAAAGTGAGAAACGGCAGCTCAGGTTCATGGGGCTGGTCGGAAAGGTGGTAGAAGAATTCTGTGAAGAAGGCAGGTTTGAAGTGAGTGGGGAGGGATGTGCTAGGGCCACGCAGGGAGGTGGAAGGGGGAACAAGGATGGAAGGGGAGAGGTGACATGTGCCAAGGCTGAAGCAAGAGGAGGCCCCGCGGGCTCTGGGTTCTGCAATAAGCTTGAGCCAGTGTCCCTCTGCCTCACTGGTCCTCAAACCCTCAACAGTAAAAAGGACAGAACCAGACCAAACCATGTCTGGGCCACTTCCAAGAAAGGAGGTCAGCTCGAATATTAACCAGGCTCATATGATCTGTTACAGTGTCACCTTACCCACCACGTGCCAAACTAGCCTGTTAGACCTTTGTGACGCCAGGCTGGTTCAGTTACACGGGTTTGAGAAAGTATCTGCCCACTGCAGCATCTGCTTCTGGGCAAGAAGCCGACACTGATAAATACCAGGATGCATCTGTGCGGGACTTGAAGGCTTATAAACTCACGTTGTAAATCAGATGTAAAAAGACCACAGCAGATCATAGTCATGGCTACTTAATGGAGGGAGGGAGGCAGAGAGGAGGAGCAGGAGGAGAAAGGAAAAGGAGAAGAAGGGGAGGAGAAAGGAGGGGATGAAAACAACTCAAAGAGATCAGGCGACTTGTCCAAATCCATCACCTGGCCAGGACCAAGGCTGGTAGAATTCAGCCCAGGTCTTCCAGATCCGGTTACTATGAGTCTCCTGGCCACTGCTCATCATTTACACGATGCATGTATTTCTTTCATATGGAGTAGGGATTAACAAAGTGTTTTTTTTTAAAAGGACCAGATAGTCAATACTTTAGACTATGCGGCCATTGTGGTTGTTCAGTAGCTAAGTCATGTCCAATTCTTTGCAACCCCATGGACACACCAGGCTCCCCTGTCCTTCACCATCCCCTGGAGTTGGCTCAAATTCACATCCACTGAGGCGGTGATGCTATCTAACCATCTTACCCAGTATACTACTTTTTTTTTCTTTTTGATTGGTTTACAAAACTTTAAATAAACAGCCATTCTTGGTCTGGGGACAGATTTGGCCAGCAGGCTAGTTTGCCAGCTCTTTTCTTTAACTTTTTAAAAATGTTATTTGTTTATTTGTGGCTACACTGGGTCTTCACTGCTATGTGTGGGCTTTCTCTAGCTGCAGCGAGTAGCGGCTACGCTTCACTGAGGGGCACGGGCTTCTCATTGTGGTGGCTTCTCGCTGCAGAGCATGGGCTCCAGGGCGCTTGGGCTTCAGTAGTTGCAGGGCACGGGGCTTAGTTGCTCCACAGCATGTGGGATCTTCCTGGACCAGGGATTGAACCTGTGTCCCCCGCATTGACAGGTGGATTCTTTTTTTTTCCTTCATTTATTAGTTGGAGGCTAATTACTTTACAACATTGTAGTGGTTTTTGCCATACATGACATGAATCAGCCATGGATTTACATGTGTTCCCCATCCTGAACCCCCCTCCCACCTCCCTCCCCATCCCTTCCCTCTGGGTCATCCCAGTGCACCAGCCCTGAGCACTTGCCTCATGCATCCAACCTGGACTGGCGATCTGTTTCACACTTGATAATATACATGTTTCGATGCTGTTCTCTCAGATCATCCCACCCTCGCCTTCTCCCATAGAGTCCAAAAGTCTGTTCTATACATCGGTGTCTCTTTTTCTGTTTTGCATATAGGGTTATCGTCACCATATTTCTAAATTCCATATATATGTGTTAGTATACTGTATTGGTCTTTATCTTTCTGGCTTACTTCACTCTGTATAATGGGCTCCAGTTTCATCCATCTCATTAGAACTGATTCAAATGAATTCTTTTTAATGGCTGAGTAATATTCCATGGTGTATATGTACCACAGCTTCTTTATCCATTCGTCTGCTGATGGGCATCTAGGTTGCTTCCATGTCCTGGCTATTATAAACAGTGCTGTGATGAACATTGGGGTGCACGTGTCTCTTTCAGATCTGGTTTCCTCAGTGTGTATGCCCAGGAGTGGGATTGCTGGGTCATATGGCAGTTCTATTTCCAGTTTTTTAAGGAATCTCCACACTCTTCTCCATAGCGGCTGTACTAGTTCGCATTCCCACCAACAGCTTAAGAGGGTTCCCTTTTCTCCACACCCTCTCCAGCATTTATTGCTTGTAGACTTTTGGATAGCAGCCATCCTGACTGGCATGTAATGGTACCTCGTTGTGGTTTTGATTTGCATTTCTCTGATAATGAGTGATGTTGAACATCTTTTCATGTGTTTGTTAGCCATCTGTATGTCTTCTTTGGAGAAATGTCTGTTTAGATCTTTGGCCCATTTTCTGATTGGGTCGTTTATTTTGGCAGGCGGATTCTTAACCACAGTGCCATCAGGGTCATTCTCCTTTGAGTCCTCTGGAGCTCCTGGTCACACATGTGACACTCAGCCAGACACACAGGGAGAAGTGACCTTAACAGACTTTTGCCAGTTTCGTGACTGAGGCCTGCAGGTAACAGACACCATGAGGCATGGGAGAGGAAGTGCCCCCACCTGTGTGCCCCACAGCAGAGCTGGGTGCTGGGGTGAACGTGGCTCTGCGTCTACAATCTGCAAAGAACTGCCTGCCTGCCCGGGGCTCCAGTTCAGCAGCTGGCAACCAGGGGGACTCCCAGACAGACGCCCAGAGGCGGGCAGGGTGCCCCTCGGGACACAGCTGCAAAACCACAGTCCTTTCCTGGCCACTGTACTGGCTCCAGGTGGGTGGGATTTCCTGCTGTTTCTTTTCGTTGCTGTTGAATCTTCACTTCTGTAATTTTTTTAACTTATCTATTTTTAATTGGAGGATGACCGCTTTACAATGTTGGGCTCGCTTCTGCCACACATCAACATGAAGCAGCCACAGGTGATACAAGTGTGTCCCCTCCGCCCCACCTCCCACCGCATCTCTCCCCCTAGGCAGCAGGTTCCCACTGGCTGCCTCACTTACATACGGCAATGTGTATGTTTGTATGCTACTCTGCTCCTTCTAAGGGGACATACACCTTGCCACTTTCCGACAACACGCGCAGAGCGCAAGCTGAAGTCAGGCCCCTCCCGCTGAGGTTCGGATCCACATAAAAGTGGGCAAGGGACCCCCAGCCCAGAAAGGGGTTACACTGAGGTCATTCCTGAGGCAGAGTCCAGTTCAGAGTACGGTGCCAACACCAGAATGGGTGATGCTTTTCATTAGAGAAGATACTTTAAAAAAGAAAAAAAAACCTAGAAAATGCCACAAAGAGGAGGGTAGTGTTAGTTGCTTAGTCGTGTCTGACCCTTTATGACCGGAGAGACGACAGCCCGCCAGCCTCCTCTGTCCAAGTGATCCTTCAGACAAGAGTACTGGAGTGGGCTGCCATTCCCTTCTCCAGGGGATCTTCCTGACCCAGGGATGGAACCCAGGTCTCCTGCACTGCAGGCGGATTCTTTACCATCTGAGCCAGCAGGGGAGCCCAAAGAGGAGGGGGAAAATAACACGCCCGAAGCCACGTTATCCAGAACATGACTGACATGGACACCGTCGCTCCAGTGCCTTTTTCTTGACTTGCATACTTCTCTTTAAGAGGCTGTGACCCAACTAAACGTAGGTTTTTATAATTTCCTTTTTTCATTCACTATATAAGTTCTTCCTCACACTATGTGGATACTCTCAGATGTCATTTAAGATGTTTAAGATCCTGAACATTAAGATTTAAGATTTGAACTATGAAATACTCCACTGTTCACTGTGAATGATTCCTCGGTGGGCAGTACCTTTCGGTCAGGTCCACTGTACTGTCTCTCTAAATCAGCACATTGTCATCTGGAGGCAACAACCTTTGTCCTGAGACCTGTCCTCAACACAGCTTCCTGGCAGCAGAATGACTAAATCAAGGGGACTAAACACTGAGGGCAAGAGGAGAAGGGGACGACAGACGATGAGACGGTTGGATGGCATCACCGACTTGATGAACATGAGTTTGCGCAAACTCCAGGAGATGGTGAAGGACAGGGAAGCCTGGAGTGCTGTGGTCCATGGGGTCGCAGAGAGTCAGACACAACTGAGCGACTGACCATCAGCAACAGAACATTTTTAAGGCTCCTGACGCTGTGTCACACTATTCTCCCCAGAGGCCGTGCACGTGGCCGACGCTCTATCAGGACGATGCGAGCGCCAGCCTCGCCTGATCTTTATACGTGTTAACGCCGACTATGTGTCTGGAAGACTCTGAGCACTGAGAGCCAGCCGTGCTGGCAGGGCACTCACCCAGGTCCGCCCTCCACCTATTTCTCTTCTTCAAACTTGATGAAGATGATGGCAAAGTGCAGTGTCTGGTTTCACTATGTGTTTGCTTAGTTGCTTTTTAAACACAACATTTTTCAGGCTTGTAATTCTTTTCGATTTATGTTTTC